CAGTTCCACTCTGTCCTCTAGGGGCGCTGTGAGTCAGAATGGACTCCACGGCAGTGGCTGTGGTTTGGGCTTTGCTTCTGTGAAGACTGACAGCCTTGGAAACCCTGTGGGGCAGTTCCACTCTGTCCTCTAGGGGCGCTGTGAGTCAGAATCAACTCCACCGCAGTGGGCTTGGTTTAGGCTTTGCTTCTGTGAAGATTGACAGCCCTGGAAACACTGTGGGGTGGTCCTACCCTGTCACATGGGTCACTCAATGGTTCCCAACAATGGCAGCAGCATAATGGGGGGCAGCGTGGATTAGGTGGTAGAATTCTTACTTCAGTGCGGGACGCCCAGAATTGAGCCCCAGCCAGTGGACCTCATCTGCAGCCACCATCCCTCTGTCACTGAGGCTCACATGTTGCTTTGATGCTTCAATGGTTTCAGCGGAGCCTCCAGCTAAGACTACGGAGAAAGCCCTGGCCGTTCACTTCTGGAAATGAGGCAGCGAGAACCCTGTGGGTCCCCAGCAGGTCTCAGGACTAGTGCAGGAGCATGCAGCTGGTCGTTCCATTGTTCATGGAGTCACCCGAGCTGGGCCAACTCTATCTATTGCAGCAAACGATGATGACGAGCCTAGTGACAGTTAACTTTCCCTTCAGCTGAATTCCTTTTAGACCCAGCGCAGCCTGGGCTGGTTGCTGGGCAAAGTTTAAATTTGGTTACTCGGCGTGATGCCGAGTCCCTGTCTGCATTTTGTCATGCACCAGGCTGCCGACGGGCCATCTGGCCCCCGGCGTGGCCAGCTGCTCTGACACTGAGCACACGTCACAGTGTGAGAAGGTTCAGACCACCATCTTTTCATTGTCATAGGGGACCCACTGCTCGGTAGAGGAAGGCTGAGAAATTGAAGTGGAAACAGCCTTCTGGGGGTGCTTTTGTGTGCTGACGATCCAACTCACAGAGACCCCACGTGACAGAGTAGAACTGCCCACAAAAGTGCCCTTGGCTGTCATTTTTACGGGAGTGGATCACCAGGTCTTCCTGCCACAGACCCACTGGGTGCAATCAAATCACCAACCTTTATGGTTACCAGCTGAGCACTTAACCACTGTGCCACCAGGCACCCGTGTAATCTGTGGGGGAGAGAGTGAGCACAGGGCTAGCAGAGTGATGGAGAAACACGGTCCTATCTGTGGGTAGAAGAACCTCACGACCACCTCAGATAAAAAGCCAGTCGGAGCCTCATCAACCAGCAGGAAACTAGTTAGTGCAGCTGACATCGTTGTAAAATTGGGGACCAGTCACCTGCATTATACTCACTGGTTCTTTGGCTCCAATTCTATTTTTCTAAAGGCTGATACCAACAATGCCAATTTCAAACCAAGACCTAGACTTGGTGGAACTGCAGAGTTACAGATACATGGAAGGGAGCTGGGATGTGTCCAGCCATCTGCCGTGCTCAGGCTTAGCTGCTCACTTGCTAAGGGACCTTGTCATTGTGTTGGGTGCTGCTGAGTCGATTCTGACCCACAGCGCCCCTAGAGGACAGAGTGGAACTGCCCACAGGGTTTCCAAGGCTGTTATCTTTCCAGGAGGCAGATCACCAAGTCTCTCTCTCTCAGAGCTGCTAGGTGGGTTTGAACTGCCAGTCTTTCAGTTCACAGCTGAGCGTTTACCTGTTGTGCCACCAGGGCTACTTTATGGGGCAGGTGCTATTTAATATTCACAGGTTAAAGATGAGGAAATGGTTTCATGGAGCATAACTTTCTTTCCCTGAGTCACAAAGCCCCTGATTCAAAATCAGAACCTTCGTACTCCAAAGCTTGTACTCTTTCTACATACTATGTCTCCTTAAGATACGTTCAAAATATGTGTGTGTGTTTTTTTAATTTCAAAATGATGAAATGTTAATTAAGTGCTCCCAGCATATAGGTGGTGCACTTAGCCAGTTTTAAACGTTCGGGCAGCTGTGATGTCCAGAGTGCCTTTTGGAAGTTGACCTGTCCTCTGGGCTCCTCTCGTCGTAGGTTTCCATCTGGAGCAACACCTGAGTGAAGTTGCCCTGCAGACGGCTCTCGCCAGTTCCTCCAGGCACTACGCCGGCCGATCCTTCCAGATCTTCAGGGCCCTCAAGCAGCCTCTGTCTGCCCACGCCTTGTCCGACCTTCTCTCCAGACTGGTGGAGGTGATCGGAGAGCACGGAGATGAGATCCAGGTACGGAAGGCAAGACTACCACACGTCCGGCTCTCATTTCCCTGATCCACAATTAACCACTTTCTTTTCTAATTTTTTTTGTGATTTGAGTGAAAGTTTACAGAGCAAATTCATTTTCCTCACAGCAGTTCATACACATTTTGTTTCATGATGTTGACTGCAATCCCCACAATGTAACAGCTCTCTTCCCACTTCCTCCCTGTGGTTACCTTTTCCTTGTGTCCTTCTTCCTGTGCATTCCTGCCCCCTGAGCTGTCTCCCTGTGCAAACACTGCCCTTCATTCTCCCACGATTGATTGATCACTCTAAGAAGTGTATCAATGTTCACCCCATATGCCGTCCATTGTTGGGCTGAAAGCCACAGGAGTGAGTTGCATTCCAGAACTGAAGGGTAACTGGCACCCATAGTCTCAAGGGTCTTACCAGGCTCTATCAGACCAGGAAACCTGATCCCTTTGTTTTTTTTTTTTATGATTTTTGAGTTTTGTTCCACATTGTTCTCCCACTCTGTTCGGGATCTCCTACATAGGTCTCCCTCTAAATGGTTGATAGTGGTAGCTGGGCACCATCTAGTTCTTCTGGTCTCATAGTCATATAGGCTGAGGATCCCATGGTGTACCAGTCCCTTGGACTAATTGTTTTCAAGTGTTTTTGGTTTTCTTCATTCTTCTTTGCTCTGGACGAGGAGAGACCCATTGTTGCATCTGGATGACCGCTTGCAAGCTTTTAAGACCCCAGTTCCTACTCATCAAACCAGGATGTAGAACAATGTTTTGTGTAGTATGTTATGCCAGTTGAACTTGATGTCCCCTGGGACTATGGTCCCGAGCGCACAAGTACAACTCCTCCCTCCCTGTGGGTGGTTGGCTGTGGCCCAGAAGTTATCATAACTGTGCCTCTTGTTAGCTCTATTATATATTTGGACATTCTTACAGCACATACAAATATGTATCATCTGCCAGCCTCTGTCATGGGTATATTCCCTTTTGCCTGGACATAGGTGATCGTTCAGGCGGTCTACACATCTGTTTACTTGTAGGTCAATGTTTGCCTTCACTGACAACGCAGTACTGTATGTGCAAAAGGGTTCCTCTTTGTTGTCTGTACCTCTTGTGTACCCCTGTGTCTTCCTTTTCCTCAGTGCCATTGTGTTGATCACTCACATTTGGTACATTGCCCTTCCCTTCACCCAAATCACTACTTGTCTCTACCTATCTAAGAGTGTTCCCTGCCCTCCCCTCCCCTCCCATCCCTGGTAACTAACAAAGAAACACTCTTTCCATGTATAAACCTTGCCTTCACTTTTTATAATAGTGGACTAATACAGTATTTGTCCATCTGTGATTGACTTATTTCACTCAATGTAATGTCCTCTAAGTTCAAGTTAAACACTTTCTTGACACCTTCTTTCTCTCACCAATTATTCCAGCCATTTTGACCTGTACAATTTGTAATTTTTTAAAAAAATTTTTTCTTCTTGTTGTTGCTATTGTTATGTGCCGTCGAGTCAGACCCGACTCATAGCGATCCCTCCTTGGGTTTCCGAGGCAGTATCACTACGAAAGTAGATTGCCCCATCTTCCTTCTGAGGAGTGGCTCATGGGTTTGAACCACCAGCCTTCTGGTTAGCAGTCAAGTGCCTTAGGCACTATGCTACCAGAGCTCCCAAATTTTTCTTAGAGGTTGATTTTTTCAAAATAATATTTTTTTTGTTTGTGAAAGTTTACACAGAAGTTTAGGTTCCTAGTCCAGGATTTCTATACAGTTTCTTCATTGACATTGGTCTCATTCATCACAAGGCACCAACATTCTCATGATTTCCATGCTGGTTGTTACATTTCCATTAATCTAGTTTCCCTACCTCTTTTCCTTCTCATCTTTGTTTTAAAGTCGTTGTTGACCATTTGGTCTCACAGAGCTGATTTTTTAGAGGTTGACTTTCATATTTACAGAACTCATTCCAAGGAGAATATTCTAGAAATCCAGAAGAGCCTCTCTGTGTTCACCCGACAGCTGAGCATCTTTGGTGGCTCCTTTGTTACTGGTTTTTTTTTAGGGGGGCGGTGGAGGAGGGAGGAGTCTCCTCTGTATTGTTTTGCTCTTTTGCCAGCAACTTTGGATGCTGTTGCAGTCTTCCTTCCCAGAACAGGACTCTCCATCAGAGCCAAGTAAAACCCCACCACTCTGTAGGGTTGGCCTTCAGGAGACAGGAAGAGCTGAAGAATTACTCAGAATGTAGCTGCCACAAGAATGACCCAGTAGAGCCCAGGGATTGGGGAGCTGGGCATGTTGAAGGCCAAGGGCATTACAAGCTCTGGGAATCAGACCAAGCCCTTCTTAGCCATCACAAGTGTTCAGCATCTCAGGAAGCCTGGATACCTGTAGCCTCTGGCTTCTTGTCCTCCTCCTGGCCATGGGGGCCCTGTGGGAAATGCCACTGACGCCCTGCCTTCTCATGGTTCATCTTTGCCTTTCAGACCTTCCGTGCTGCCTTCACATGCTCACTGTTCCCCTCAGCTGGGGGCCGTGCTGGCCTCCTTCATCCTTGTCCCCTCCCTGTTGTAGATGATCTACTGAAGACCTCAGATCTAGCAAAGTAGATCCCTTGTGGCTTTCTGCCAGCTCCCAGGCCATCTGAATTCCCTCCACGTAGCACCCTCACAGATCACTTTCAGACTCAGTCCAGGAAACCAGCAATGGCTGTCTAGCTTTCAGTGATGTGGATATTATTTGGGTGAAATTGGCGTTTATTAACTTGGTCTTCAGGCGGCTCACTGTGGTCACACGTGCTAAGAGATGGTGGCTTTCTGTGTCTGGCAGGGTTATGTCATGGAAGCACTCCTGACCTTGGAAGCGGCTGTGGATAACTTGTCTGACTGCTTGAAGAACAGCGATCTCTTGACTGTATTATCTCGGTGAGAACCCACTGAATGGCTTTTTGCAATCAAATATACAGTACCAAAGGTTTGGAAGATCTTTGGGCAGAGTCCAAAGAGCAAATCTAACTTTGAAGACGATTTATAACATGAAAAATATTTATTTAAATTAGAGAAGCAGAAGCTACAACTCATTCACACACATACACAATATATGTGTGTGTATATCCAAAAACCAAATCAAACCCACTGCTACCAAGTCGATTCTGACTCATAGTGACTCCCGCTGGGTTTTCAAGGCTATAAATCTTTACAGAAGTAGATTGTCTCATCTTCTTCCAGTGGAGCAGCTGGTGGGTTTGAACCGCTGATCTTCTAGTTAGAAGCCAAATGTCTTACCCCCTATACCACCAGAGCTCCTCGTGTGTGTGTATGTATTTTTTAAAAAACAGCAGGAAGCTAGGTAGCAATATATTCTCTCAAAATAATACAAGTATTGGTGATTTTTAACTTCTTTATATATTTGAATATTTCTTTTCAAATGTGGTATAATTATCCTATTATATCAGTAAACAGAAACTAACAGTGAATAAGTCTTTATAAGTGAATACATACAAAACTCATATGAACCATCACCATCAAAATTGTGGAAATGTTGACTTTGAAGAACTTCTGACCTAAAGGTCTTTTTGTTTTGTTTTGTTTGAATTTTCCTTCCACTGGTGTTCGTGACCCATTTCAGATCATTCTCTTTCCTGTATTTAGTTTGTATAATTCAGTTCACCATGCTCGGAAGTGAGTCATTTTCTTATATATATATTAAATGGATCTGGCTCCATTTTTAAGTTGAACATTTTTTTATGAGTAGGTAATTTTGGTATGACTACTAGTACCTAAGGCACTTGACTCCTAACCAGAAGGCTGGAGGTTCAAACCCACCAGCCACTTCTCGGAAGAAAGATTGGGTAATCTACTTCCATAGTGATACTGCCTTGGAAACCCAAGGAGTGGTCGCTATGAGTTGGGTCCGACTCAATGGCGCATAACAACAACAACAACCCAAATTCTAACAGAAAGTAAATGACAGATCAGTGAATGTTAAGGCCAGCTAGGGATCTCTATAGACTTTCAACAAGTTCAAGTCAGTGGTGAGTGTTGTTTTTATGCAGTTTTTGAGAGTTGTTCTTGTTTTGTTTCCTATAGCTTTCATATTAAGAATAAGGAGAGAAAAAAGTTAATGTAAAAAGCATTTCCAAAGAATCCGTTCCTGTCCTTATTGTTCCTTGGTACCCTGGAAGGGGTTGGCTTTTCACGGAAGCATGTTGACATTCTAATGAATATATTTATTTTTATACCCAGCTCATCGTCACCAGACTTAAGCTCTAGCACAAAACTGACAGCAAGCAGAAAGAGCACAGGACAACTCAACGTGAACCCAGGAACCACCGGAGGCAGCACAGCCACTGGAGAGCGCAGCCGGCATCAGAGGAGCTTCTCTGTCCCCAAGAAGTTTGGTGTCGTAGACCGCTCTTCAGACCCACCTCGAAGCGCCACCCTAGACAGGATCCAGGCTTGTACCCAGCAAGGTCTCTCTTCAAAGACCAGGAGCTCCTCCTCCTTGAAGGACAGCCTCACCGACCCCTCCCACATCAACCATCCAACCAACCTGTTGGCCACCATCTTCTGGGTCACTGTGGCCTTGATGGAGTCTGACTTTGAGTTTGAGTACCTGATGGCCTTAAGGCTGCTGAGCAGACTGCTGGCTCATATGCCACTGGATAAAGCAGAGACTCGAGAGAAACTGGAGAAGCTGCAAGCACAGCTCAAGTGGGCCGACTTCTCAGGGTTGCAGCAGCTGCTGCTGAAAGGGTTCACGTCCCTCACCACCACAGACCTGACCCTGCAGCTCTTCAGTCTGCTCACACCAGTGTCCAAAGTACCCATGGTGGACGCGTCCCAGGCTATCGGTAAAACCAGCACCGCTCACTCACTTGCACCATCTGGTGGTGGTTGTACACATGTTTAGTGTCATGAGATATAATGGGCACCTGCTGCTTTTAACAAGGAACCCTCATGGCACAGTGGGTAGCTCTCAACTGCTAACCAAAAGGTGGGAGGTTTGAGCCCCCCAGCAGCTCTGTGGGAGAAAAACCTGGGCAATCTGCTTCCCTAAAGATGACACCCTACAAAACCCTGTGGGGCTGTTCCACTCTGTCCTCTAGGGGCACTGTGGGTCAGAATTGACTTGATGGCACCCAGCACCAATACTGCTTTCAACAGCTCTACTTAGACATGCTGCCTTGGGAATAGTTTTGTTTTTCTTAAAATTCTATATAATGAAAGTCATAATTATTTAGATCACAGGAGTTTTTTGTTTTTTTAATTGGGATTTGGGTGAGAGTTTGCAGAGCAAATTCATTTCCCATCCAGCAGTTCATACTCATTTTGTGTCTTAACACACTGATTGCAATCCCTAGAATGCAGCAGCTCACTTCCCACTTCCTCCCTGTGGTTACCTCTTCCCTATGTCCTCCTTTCCTTTGCATTCCTGCCCCTGGAGCAAGTACTGCCCTTCTGATCTCCCGTGGTTGATCGTTCTAAGGAGTGCACCTTCCTACTGTAAATGTTCATCTTCCACACCTATCTGTTGATTGGCTGGACACCATGGGTGTGCGTTCAAATCTAGGCCCAAAGGGTGACTAAGGGCCTTAGCCTCAGGAGTCTCACCAGTACTCTGTCAGGCCGGTAAGGCTGGTCCCTTTCATGATTTTGAGTTTTGTCACAGGAGGTATTTTTAAGGCAATAGCACACAGGGAACAGGAATGTATGCAATAATGGTCCTTCCTTTATGGTCCCACATCAAGCTGCACAGACTGTTAGCTCACTCTGTTGACCTTTTGTAGACTTTCCCCCCTTATTTTCTAACTCCCAAGTCTTTGCTCTTTCTCAGCCTGCCTTTTCCTCTTGAAAAGTCTCTTGGTTCCCTATACCCTTCATTAAACCAAATCAACAAACCAGATTTGTAATGGCATGCCAGGTGGCCCAGAGTTCTCTTCACGAAGCACAGCTTAGCACTGTGCTATCAACTGTCACCGGAAGCATCTTTCTTCCCATTTTATGGGTGAGGCCTAAAATTGCTTGGTCTCTGTTCTGGGTCCTAGTGCTGCTCTAACAGAAAATACCACATATGGGACGGCCTTAACAAGCAGGAGTTTATTCTTACAGTTTGGAGGCTTTAAAGTCCAAGTTCAAAGTGCCAGGCTCTAGGGGCTGGGTGAAAGCCCCTCAACCTTGGGTCCAGCTCTGCCTCCTGCTCCCGGCCCACTGGAGCTAGAGGCATTTCTTCACTCAGACAGCTGCTGGCTGCTGAGGCTGACAAGCCCCAAAGTTGACAAGTCAAAAGGCACAGTCCCAGTGGTACCAGATCATATGGCAGGCTGCTGAGCAACGACACGGCTCCATGCAGGGTCCAAGCGTGCCATAGGCTAGAGACCTTCCCAAGGCTTCTCCTTATATAGAGGAAGCAGACCACATCCCAAAGGCAGCTACTCAGCTGCTTGTGGTAGATCCCACCATGGGGTTGATTGCCAGTCTCCTCATGGGGAATAACTACATCCAGCTGCCCAGCCACCCAACCAGGCCCAACCAAGTTGACACACAAACATAACCACTACAGTCAGTTTCCTCTCTCAGTAGCTTTTCTGAAAATGCACTTTTGTGAAAACTTTCCACCTCGTGCTTCAGTCCATTTCAGTCTGGGCCACTCATCCTTAGTCACCACCAACCCTTGGCAGGAGAGCTGTTTCTGTTGGGTGTTTAGCTCATGGCGGCCCCATGGGACAGAGTAGAATTGTCTCACTGGGTTTTTACTCGGCTGCAAACTGACAGATCTGCAGTTTGAAACCACCAGCTACTCTGTTGGAAAAAGATGAGGCAGTCTGCTTCCGTAAAGATGACTGCCTACGAAACTCTGTGGGGCGGTTCTACTGTGCTGTAGGGTCACTGTGAGGTGTAGTTGACTAGAAGCCAATGGGTTTCATCTTTATGGACGCAGATCACCTGGTCCGTCTTCTGAGGAGCCGCTGGGTACTTTCCAACCGAAACTAACCAAACCAGACACACTGCCACAGAGTCAGAGCCAGCTCACAGCAACGCTTCCTTGGGTTTCCGAGGCAGTATCGCTATGGATTAACCGTTCAGTTAGTAGCTGAGCATTTAAGTGCTGTACCACTAGACTGCTTAACAAGAAAGCTATTGTACCTTAAAGATCTGCTTCGGTGCTACCATTGTAGCTGGTGCCATTATGATTGTAAATTTTTCCTGGATTTTCTGTTAGACCACATTAAACAAACTCACTGCCGTCGAGTTGAATCCGACTCACAGCGACCCCTCCCTGGGTTTCCGAGGCAGTATCACTATGGAAGTAGATTGCCCAACCTTCCTTCTGAGGAGTGGCTGGCGGGTTTGAACCGCCAGCCTTCTGGTTAGCAGTCAAGTGCCTTTTCTCTTAGACCATATTTAAGTGCTTCAAAAGGTCGGCTTCACATCACCTGAGGATAAAATCTGTATGTACGACGCCTTCCACGCTGGCGGTTAAAACGTGCCTTCTCTTCCTCTGACTCGGTTGTCTTCTGTCTAATCCAGGGTTCCCGCTGAACGTCCTGTGCCTCCTGCCCCAGCTGATTCAGCATTTTGAAAATCCCAGTCCGTTCTGTAAGGACGTGGCCGAGAGGATCGCTCAGGTACGAGGACAGTCCTACCCTCAGGTCCACACTGGCCCCCAGGAAGGCCCGGCAGGGCCAGGGACTACCAGGTCCTGAGCACAACGATTGTCACAAAACCTGAAAATAAGAAATGGTATCAGTAGGGGCTCAATGGTTAAGCACTCTGCTGCTGAACTGAAAGGTCGGTGGTTCCAACCCATGATCCGCTCAGAGAGATACATGGCCATCTGCTCTCATGAGGGGACAGCCCAGGACACCTCAGGGGCACTTCTCCTCTGTCACAGGGGGTCACTGTGAGTTGGAACTGACTTGACGGCAACGGGTTTTGGTTTATCAGCAGTAATGTGAATCTCTAAGGTGCTCTCATGGTGCAGTGGTTAAAGCATTCAGCAGCTCATCAGAAGGCCAGTGGTTCAAACCCACCTGCTGCTTTGTGGGAGAAAGAGGAGGCAGTCTGCTTCCTGAAAGATTTACAACCTTAGAAACCCTGTGGGGCAGTTCCACTCTGTCCTCTAGGGATGCTGTGACTCAGAATTGACTCCACAGCAGTGGGTTTGGTTTGGGTTTGGCTTCTGTAAAGATTGACAGCCTTGGAAACCCTGTGGGGCAGTTCCACTCTGTCCTCTAGGGGCGCTGTGGGTCAGAATGGACTCCACAGCAGTGGGTGTGGTTTGG